GGCTCTACCCCTGCAGCACACCTCTGCCTGGACATCCAGGTGTTTCCATACATCCTCAGAAATCTAGGCCAAGGTTCCCAATCCTTAATTCTCAACTTCTGTGCAGCCACAGGCCCAACATTATGTGAAAGCTTCCAAGGCTTGGGGTTTGCGCCCTATGAAGCCATTGCGTGAGCTGTACCCTGGCCCCCTTTAGCCACAGCTGAAGCATCTGGGATGCAGGGCACCAAGTTCCCAGGCTGCAAATAGCAGGGGGCCCTGGAACTGGCCCAAGAAACCATTTTTCCTTCCTAGGTTTCTAGGCTTGTGATGGAAGGGGCTGCCAGGATGGTCTCTGGCATGCCCTGGAGACATTTTCCCCATTGTCCTGGCAATTAGCATTTGGTTTCTCATTACTTATGCAAATTGCTGCTGCTGGCAGCAATTTGAATTTACCCCGAGAAAATGGGTTTTTCTTTTCAACCGCATTGTCAGGCTGCAAATTTTTCAAACTTTTATGCTCTGCTCCCTCTTGAATGCTTTGCTGCTTAGAAATTTCTTCTGCCAGATACCCTAAATCATCTCGCTAAAGTTCAAGTTCCATAGATCTCTAGGGCAGGGCAAAAAAGCAGCCAGTCTCTTTGTTAAAGCATAAAAAGCATCACCTTTACTCCAGTTTTCAACAAGTTTCTCATCTCCATCTGAGACCACTTCTACCTGGACTGTATTGTCCATATGACTATTAGCATTTTGGTCAAAGCCATTTACAAGTCTCTAAGAAGTTCCAAACTTTCTTACGTTTTCCTATCTTCTTCTGAGCCCTCCAAATTATTCCAGCCTCTGCCTCTTACGTAGTTCCCAAATCACTTCCACAGTTTAGGGTATCTTTACAACAGCACCTCACCCTACTGGTGCCAATTTACTGTATTAGTCCATTCTCATGCTGCTAATACAGACATACCCAAATGTACATGGGTATATTTATAAAGGAATACAAATACATGGGTAATTTATAAAGGAAAGAGAGTTAAACCTCTCACAGTTCAGCATGGCTGGGAAGACTCAGGAAACTTATAATCACGGTGGAAGGGGAAGCAAACAGATTCTTCTGCATATGACAGCAGGAAAGAGAAGAATAAGTCCCCAGAGAACAGTGGAGCTCCTTATAAAACCATCAGATTTCATGAGAACTAACTCATCATCATGAGAACAGCATGGGCGAAACTGCCTCCATGATTCACTTATCTCCACTGGGTCCCTCCCACAACATGAAGGGATTACAGGAACTATAATTTAAGATGAGATTTGGGTAGGGACACAGTCAAACCATATCATTTTGCTTCTCCATTGGCAGCAAATGTGAAGGCCACAGATTGAAATGTCAGAACTATGAGATCCAAGCAGTGTGCATCTCCAAGTCACATTTGGAGGCCAATAGCTATGAAGACTCACCTAACCTACAGGGATTTTACATAAATGGGAAATAAACAATATGTGTTTATTCACTGAGCTTCTTTCAGGTGTTTTATTAACCTTTTTTTATTAACATAGGCTTCATGTATCCTGGCTAATTTAATAAAATATGACTTTAAAATAAACAGTTGATAGACACAGATAGACAGATAGCACTTTCTTCCAAAGATAGTTGAACACAGACCAAAAACATTAATATCATGAATTTAATGTTGCACAAAATGAAGACATCACAGAATGCATATTGGATTATTTCATTAATATAAAATTTGAGAACAAAACCACAGTGTTAAAAATTAGAATAGTGGTTACATTTAGGAAGTTTACATTTAGGAAGTGTACATACAGGGTTTCTCAGGGCATGAAAGTAGAAATTTAGGGATGATGGTTTTGATATATTTTTGAGTTAAGTGATTATATGAGATTTACCTATGTTTATCACGACTTTAAAACTAAATATATATGGTCTCATTATTATATATGCTACAAAATCATTTTTTCACTTAGATGTATGTTTTAAGTATGCTGACACACAGAAACTTCATTAGATTAAGTTCATCCAAAATGTTAGTATGCCAAAATTTTAAACTATACTATGACTGCTTTTTGACTTAGGTATTATACAACAAGGCAAGTAAAATTTACTTTCCAAGCTTTTCCTTCATTAAGCTCTTTCCTAGTCTAGGACGGATTGGCACTACTCTAGTATAAAACTATTCTCTTTTCCCTTAAAAAACAGTAGCATAAACACACTTGTATTTCTCTGTCACTATTGCTCCTAATACAGTTTTTATTGTAAATTTTAACCAAAATAACTTTCGTCTCTCAGAAACACCTGCAGGGATGTATAATTGAAGACTCTTACATATCAGCATTTTAACAGACTAGCAAAGCTCATGAATACACACAGCTCAGCTTTTCCTGATATGTTTAAACAATTTTCCTGCTCACTGCATTGTTTGGAATTCTACTCATTTCCTCTGGGCTGAATTTTTTCTTATATTAGTATTTAATAGTAACCCTTCACTAATGATTTTAGTAAGTCCACAGTTGCAAACTTCCTCAAACCTTATACTACCCTTGAAGGAGAGTTTGACCACAAAGGGAACTCTGGGGAGATGACTGAATTCCTATGGCCTTTGGAGGATATTACTTCATTGACTTTTGGCATCCACTTTTGCTGATAAGATGCCTGACGTCGGTCTAATCTTGATTGTTTTGTATATAACATGATTTTTTTTTGTTCTCTGGCTGCTTTTAAGATATTATCTTTATCCTTGTTCTGCAATTTCATTCCAATATGTACAGGTGTGAGTACATTTCTGTTTATCCTGATCAGCACTCAGTATGTGCTTTTAATCTAAGAAATTACATCTCTGTTTGCTTTTGGAAATTTCTCAACTGATGCCTCTTCAAATAGTGATTTCTTAGGCATTCTCTCAAGTGTCTAGTGTCTGAATTTCTATAAGATACAATTTGGAGCCTCTCTTTCTATTCACCATGACTGTTAACATATGCTTCATATATTTGATTTATCTTGCCACACCAAAGTCTAAGTAAATTACCCATTACTACTTCAATAAATTATCCTTCAGCTATGTCTAGTTGAAGTTTATCCTCTCCTGAGGATATTTTCCTGACCATGGTTTCAAACATATATGTTATTTACAATGAGTTCTTTTCCATATGCACCCATTATTATTCTTTCTTTTAATTTCACAATTTCCTATTTTAATTTCATGCTTTCTTGTTGATAACTTCTTGTTCTTGTGGCATGTGTTATTTCTGCACTAGGACTCACAGTAACAAGTTGTGAGTCCTAGAGTTGGTTTCCTAACCGTTCTGCCCTGTATCCTCATTTATGAGATGAAGATACTGGTAGCTACTTTATAATGCTATTGCTTTTATCAAATGATATGATACATGTAAAGTTCTTAAAACAATGTCTAGATAGTAAACAGAATTATTATTATTGTTATCATTTGAGACAGAGTCTTGCTCTGTCGCCCAGGCTGGAGCGCAGTGGCACAATCATGGCTCACTGCAACCTCTGCCTCCTGGGTTCAAGTAATTCTCCTCTCTCAGCCTCCTGAGTAGCTGGGATTACAGCCATGCCAAGCTAATTTTTGTGTTTTTAGTAGAGATGGGGTTTTGCCATTTTGGCCGGGCTGATCTTGAACTCCTGACCTCAGATGATCCGCCTCCCTCGGCCTCCCAAAGTGCTGGGATTGCAGGCATGAGCCACCGTACCTGGCCCACAATTATGCTTTAATATTATTCAGAGTGTTCTATTACTTGCATCTCATTGACAATAAATAGTTGGGCTTCCATGTTGAATTTGTTGGATCCCTTTCTTAGCAATATTTTTCCTTGATAGCAGTAGAACTTTAGTTTGCAGGCTTAACTTGAATGTAAATACTTACCCTCTCTCTCTGACTTCAGCATTCCTCGTGTGGCATAGAAGTTTTACAGTTTCCTTCTGACTGGTCCCAGGTCTTACCCTGTCAGCCTAGTGTTCCTACCAGAAACTATACCAGAGAAATCAGAGGTCTGTGCTTGGAGGGAGCAAGTGGCTTGTCCCAGGTACTGGTTTACCACATCCTTGCCCATACCTTACAGCTTCCAAAAATCATAGACCTCGACAGTGAGCAGGCTCCTTTCTCAGCCTGATAAGACTCTGACTGAGGCATCTTGTATAGGAGAGAGAATTCCTCCTCGGCATCCAGTTTGGCACAGTGACTCTGGCTTTTATTCCCTGCCTTCTGCAAGGTGTGTTTGGTCTCTAACACCCCACAGAATTCAAATGCTTGTTTCTGTTCCCCGAAGTCAATATATCCACAGATTCCGCTCTAGCTTCTACTGTGCGTTTCCATTCCATTTCTTTCAAAGAAAATGTAAATTTTGAGTGGGCAACATTCTTTTTATTTCAAAAAAACTTTCATCTATTTATTTATCTAATTATTTGATCATAGGGAAGAAATAGTAGTGGGGATGGTTGGGAGCGCAGTAGATTTAGCTTAACGCAGCTAAAAAGTAAATGCTAAACACCATCTTGACTAAAAAGTACTCAGAAGCTTGTGACGACGGACTTTTCTTTGTGTGAAAAAAAAGAAATTCACAGCAAGAAAAGAAATGTTTCGTTTCGTGAAGCTAAAAATTCTGACATCATTCCAGAACTACGAACCAGAGTTCTGCTAACAGCGTTAGATGCACAGATGCATGACTTACACACTTGTTTCCTGTCATGTTAACGATTTTCCCCTTTCAGTTTTTATAGGACTTGGTTACCTGAGACAGCTAACGCGATCTTTTACTAAGGATTCCTGAGTTTTCCTTTTATAAACAAAAAACTGCTCATTGGCATACATAATGTTCTACAACGAATTTTGTTGGTCACTTGAAATTGCTTCTAAATTAGACTTTTCATTCCTCCTCTGTTTTATATGTATTTGAAGATTTAGGTCACAAATTAAAAAAAAAAAATGCTGTTCCTTACCTTTCCTGAGTACTAAAACAACTTAAGAAACTAGATAACAATTAGCCAAATGGGGCTCATGACAGCAGTTTATTAGAGAGAGGAGGACTGAATTGAAAAGCATGGATTGATCTATATCCACAGTCAAGTTACATAAAACATCCAGCTCCCACTGAGCTTGCCAACTGCAAATCTCAGGCCTTCCCCTTGCAAAGGCAGAGCGTACCTTCGTAATCATGCTGTTGGATGAGCAGAGCATAGGGCTTCCTGAAGACAGGATACATATCGAATCTGAATGCACTTCGCTCTGAAGAAAGAGAGCCCAACCTCACCTGAGTCACATACTCCCAATGCAAACTCCTTCGCCCAAAGTCACCAATCAACTTAATCCATCCTCCCCCAGTGAAGCGAGTGTGAGAGGGGAAGAGGGATAATGACTCAGGTTGGGTTTCCTCAGAAACAGACTCAGACAGAATTTAGGAACAGATGATTGATGAGGGAGATGATTCCAGGAAGCACTGGCAGAGGAGTGGGAAGTGAGGCACAGCAGGGAAGGAAGGCGATGCCGGCATCCATGGGCAACTTACTACTGTGCACAAGTGGGGCTTTATCTTGCTGGGAGCCCTGAGTTACTGCGTGGAGCGTGTCTTAACACTGCTCCACATACTAGCAGAGGCAGCTGAAGTAATTTTCTGCCAGCCCTTTCCTTCACTGGAAGAGAGCTGCTCCTGGAAGCTATAACTCACCAGTACTTCTGGGGTGTCCAATTCAGATAAGCAGGCTCCTGTGGCCAGAGGAAGCTCCCAGGTGGAGAATCACAGTTGTTTGCAGAAAGAAGCAGGAGTACTGAGCAGAACGGGAAGTACTGTGTATCAGTGGGGCATGGGCAGCTTCTGCCAGGCATAGGCTGCTCTCCCTGGTGCTTCTCAAAAGATGAAGTTCCTATTTGATGGAATAAGATAGAACATCAAGAGCTTAACTGTGACCTTTCCTGTATCTCAGTTTCTGTGAGTCAGGAATTTTGGAATAGCTTAACTGAGGGGTTGTAGCTTGGGATCTCCTGAAGTTGAGTAAAGATACTGGGAGAGGTCACAGTCATCTAAAAGCTTGACTGGGCTGGAAAATCCATTCTCAAGGTGGCTCACTCAGAAGCTATTGCCAGGAGCCCTGGTTCCTTACCACAGGAACCTCTCCAGGGGGTTGACTGTGTGCAAGCCATGGCAGCCGGCTTCCCCTGGAGCAAACGATCTAAAAGAGAAAAAAGAGAGTAAGCAGGAAGTCAAAAGGCCTTTTACCAGCTAATTTTAGAAGTCTCATACATCATTTTCTTTTTATTCTGTTTGCTAGAAGCAATTTACCAAGACCAGCCTGTACTCAAAGTTAAGGGAATTAGACTCCACTTCTTAAAGGGAGGAGTATAAAAAATTTATAGGGCCAGGCATGGTGGGTTATGCCTGTAATCCCAGCACCTCGGAGGCCGAGGAGGGCAGATCATGAGGTCAAGAGATAAAGACCATCCTGGCCAACATGGCGAAACCCCGTCTCTACTAAATATACAAAACTTAGCTGGGTGTGGTGGTGTGCGCCTGTAGTCCCAGCTACTTGAGAGGCTGAGGCAGGAGAATAGCTCAAACTCAGGAGGCAGAGGTTGCAGTGAGCTGAGATCGAGCTACTGTGCTCTAGCCTGAGTGACAGAGTGAGACTCTGCCTCAAAAAAAATTGTAGAAATATTTTTAAATTACAGCAGGTGCCAAGCACCCTTTATATTCTAAAGTGAAGTGCTAGACCTCACTTGCAAATTTTATGAGAAATTAGGTGAAAAGGTCCAGAGAACTTATCTGAAGTTAGTTTTTGTGTTGTCTGAATGCTCTCAACATAGGGAAAGGGATAAGTACATTTGCCCCATAAGCCCAAGTAAGAGAGGTTTTAAAGAAACTCTTGGGAGGGTCTGACCTGTGTGTTCTGGAATATGGAGAATATATGGACTAAATTCTGAGAGATATCTGCAAAGTCAAAAGGTGAGAGGTCACATGCATAAGCCCCACATAGCAGAACAAGAGGCATTAAAGGGCTGGCTTCCTCTCACCCCAGCAAGGAAAAGGACTGAGATTTTCAGAAGTGTGAACATGGAGGGGAGTTGACTTGACATAGTCTGAAAAAAAGACTCACTCGTGGGAAATGCCTGGAGCCACAATATGACCCTGTCTTAGTCAGCTTGGGCAGCTCTAACAAAATACCACATAGACTGTGTGGCGTGAAGCACAGAAATTTATTTCTCCGAGTTCTATGCAGAGAAATCCAAGATGGGGGTGCCTGCAGATCAGATGTCTGGTGAGGACCTGCTTTCTGGTTTTCAGATGGCCATCTTCTCATTGCATCCTCATATGGTGGAGAGCAGAGAGGGAGAGCAAGAAGACAAGCTCTCTTGTGTCTACCTCTTTTACCTTTCTATTCATTTTACTTCATTCACATTTTATTTTGTCTAGCTTTACTGAGTTATCATTGGAAACAAACAGTGTTTATATTTATGGTATATGATGTGATGTTTTGAAATACATGTAAATTGCCAAGTGTATTCATCCATTCTCTCACTGCTATAGAGTCTAGGTAATTTATATTTTAAAAAGTTTAATTGGCTCATGGTTCTGCAGGCCATACAGGCAGCATGGTGGCTTCTGTTGCTGGGGAAGCCTCAGGAAATTTCCAGCCACAGTGGAAGGCAAAGGAGGAGCAAGGTACCTCACATAACAGAAGCAGGAGCAAGGGAGAGAGGGAGGCGGGAGGTGCTGCACATTTTTAAACAGCCAGATCTTGTGAGAACTCACTCACCATCTGATATGGTTTGACTGTGTCCCCACCCAAATCTCATCTTGAATTGTAATAATCTCCATGTGTCAAGGGTGTGACCAGGTGGAGATAATTGAATCATGGAAGTGGTTACCCCCATACTGTTCTCATGGTAGTGAATACATCTCATAAGATCTGATGGTTTTATCCATGAAAGTTCCCCTGCACAGGCTCTCTGGCCTGCCTCCATGTAAGACAGGACGTTGCTCTTCCCTCATCTTCTGCCATCATTGTGAGATCTCCCCAGCCACATGGAACTGCGGGTCCATTAAAGTTCGTTTTTTAAAATAAATTACCCAGTCTCTGGTATGTCTTTATTAGCATGAGAATGGACTAATACACCACCACAAGAACAGCACCAAGGGGATGGTGCTAAACCATTCATGAGAATCTGCCCCATGATCCAATTACCTCCCACCAGGCTCCACCTCCAACTACAATTCAACATGAGATTTGGTGGGAACACAGATACAAACCAAGTCACCAAGGGATTGTCACAATGAAGTGAATTAACATATCCATCGCCTCACTTGGTTACCTTTTTTAAATTTGTGATGAGAATACTTAAGATCTATTCTCTTAGAAAATTTCAGTTATACATTAACTATAGTCACCATGGTATATATTAGTCCCGTAGAACGTATTCATCTAATGAGTGAAAAAATTTGTACCCTTTAAGAGACATTTCCCCATTTCCTCCAGACCCCAGCCTGCCTGGCAACTACCCTTCTGCCCTTCTGCTTTCTGTTCCTGTGAGTTTGACTTTTTAAGATTAAATGTATGAATGATAGCATACAGTTTTTGTCTTTCTGTATCTTTTACTTAGTATATTTTCCAGGTTCATTGATGTCATCACAAATGTCAGGATTTTCTTCTTTTTTAAGGCTGAATAATAGTCTGTTGCATATATATGTAATGCATTGTATATGTGTGTGTGTATATATATATATATATATACATATATACACACACACACACACACACACACACAGACAGCATGCATATTTTCTTAATTCATTCATCCATCTCTTTTATAAGGACACTAATCCCAGTCTTGAGGACTCTACCTGCATGACCTCTAATTATTTCCCAAAAGTGCCACCTGCAGATACCACCATCCTGGGGAGATTTAGGCTTCCTTATATGAATTCTGGGGAACATAACATGTAGCCCATAGCAGCCGCTAAGAGATGAGTGGAATACTGTGAGTTCAGTGGCTGAGCTGGGCATCCTAGCTGACTGCCAGATGACGGGCAACACACCTTTCCCACTTCCAGGGAGCTGTAGGTCGAGGACCACCAAACATTCACAACCAATATTCCACCAGAGAGCTTTAACCATCTAGTTGGCCAGAGGGCACCAGCACTGAATGACAAGTGTACCAGCCTCCAACCCTTCGTTCTTTCTCCAGATTCGATCACTCTATCACTCTGGACCTAACTCCAGAGAAAGTTTTCAAAGGTAACCAGCAAGTTAGGACAGACGTGTAACCAGTAAGTGGGGAGAAAGCCAACTGTGCTTCCAGCCTCCCCCCAGGTCTCTCGGGCCTGGTTAGGCCAATGCTAGGAAAAGGAAGAAGCTTCGCATCGTATGAGCATTCAGAATTTGTATTATAATAATACAGGAATTATGTGATTAGACTGGACCAGGCTAATAATGTATGGCAAATTAAAGGATATGTGTGAGCATCTAAGACCTCACCAAAAGTCCCCTGCCTCCCCCAGGGTAGAAACATAACTTTCTCCCAGAACTTTAGGTTTTATCTGACAACTCAAAGGCAGTCAGCAAACCAGCTACATTTGAAATGTTAGCTACGGAGAGATTTGAATCTTTAGAATTATAAACAAAGCCTTTGTGTCGTGGGCAATAAGATGCATTGCTTCGTGCCAGCTTTGGAGAGAAACTGTGTTATTAATTCTAGTTTGAATACGGAGACTCTAACAGTGAGAAGAGAAATCATATTAGTTGTTTGTGAAAACGGATGAGCTGAAACCCTGGAGACACAATCCCTTGAGAGCCAACCTAGTCCTACCCTGTAACTGATTTTCCTTCTGGGTATGACTTAATTACTTGGCTTCTTTCTAGCCATATCCTGGCCCAGATGGTTGCCACCTTTCGCTGCATGAATCTTATACCAGTTTGCAAACTCATGAATTTGCATTCTGTCTGTGATGATTAATACTGAGTGTCAACTTGACTGGATTTAAGGATGCAAAGTATTGTCCCTGGGTGTGTCTGTAAGGGTGTTGCCAAAGGAGATTAACACTGGAGTCAGTGGACAGGGAGAGGCCGACCCACTCTCAGTCTGGGTGTGCACCATCATCTAATGAGTTGCCAGCACGTCTAGGATAAAAGCAGGCAGAGGAATGTAGAAGGTCTTGACTTCCTGAGTCTTCTGGCCTCCATCTTTCTCCCATGCTGGATGCTTCCTGCCCTCGAACATTGGACTCAAGGTTCTTCAGCTGTTGGACTCTTGGACCTACACCAGTGGTTTGCCAGGGCTCTTGGGCCTTCGGCCACAGGTGGAAGGCTGCACTGTCGGCTTCCCTACTTTTGACGTTTTGGGACTTGGACTGGCTTCCTTGCTCCTCAGCTTGCTCAAAGCCTATTGTAGGACTTCACCTTGTGATCGTGTGAGTCAGTTCTCCTTAATAAACTCCCTTTTATATATGCATCTATCCTATTAGTCCCGTCCCTCTAGAGAACCCTGATTAATATGCTGTCCTTAATTTTTCTGTTGGTTCCCCTCTTGCTCATATTTATTTTAGAGGTCAGTCTCCTCCCATATACTTGGAGAAATAGAAACTTTTCAGAAAAGGTCGGAGAAAGGTATTATTTCTGGTCTCAAAGAGTTCATTTTCTAGTTAGGGTGAGAAACTGGACTTGCGTAGACTTCTCACATATGCATTCTTGTTCCTGAGCCTCTTTGGTGGGTTTGTGTCCTGCCTTCTCCAAGCACATGGCAACTTGTCCTCTGCCTGTCACCCCAGGGCACTGTGAGTTCTATATGCTCTGTGTGCACAGCAAGGGCCGCTTTGGGCCTGACTCCCCGAAACACAAGTGACACTGCCATCCTCTTCTGTGACAGCTACATGAGTTCAACTACTTCCCACTCTCTGCCTCCTCCCTGTCCTGCTGTCTTCCAAAAAGAGAATTTTACCAGACCAGTTCCAACAATAAACCCAGGTTCCTTTGAGGCCTTTTCCTGTCAATGTTAAATACCTGGCTCTTCCTCTTCAGCCTGTCCACTGAGTGGTCCACCTCTAGTTTGGTGACTGCTTTTGTTGCATGGCTAACTTTTAGTTCGTAATTAATTCATTAATCACATTTTCCCCCACATTTGCCATAAAGGATTATTCATCTGTTTTGGTCCTTCCCAGGCTTCATTCATTCATTAATCCATTAATTCATATATTCACTCACTCACTCATTCATTCATCAAACATTACTTAGTAGTTCCTACTTTGTTTAAGGTCACACCCTACAAGGTGGATAGAGAGAGATGAAGGCAGTGGTTCTCAATCTTGGCTGATGATTATAGTCATCTGAGATTCTAAAAAATAAAATAATATAACATAAAAAACAGATGCAGTGCTGTGGTCCCAACTTCAGAGATTCCGAATGAATGAGTCTGGGGCAGAGCCTGAGCATCAGTGATTTTTAAAAGCTCCCTGGGTGATTTGAAAGTGCAGCTAAGATTGAGAATCATGAGAAGAGGAGAGCATGAATAACATGGACTAAAATTAAAAGGCAAGGCTACCCTGAACACTTCAGAGGGGCTGCTTTCAGGAAAGCCTCCCAGCAGACCTGCACCCTTGGCCTGCCCATGACTGACAGCCCTTCCTTCTCTGCTGAGCCCCACTGACCACAAATTTAGCCACTGCTCAGGCAAGACATGCGGCACATCTGACTCAAACTGAACAAAGGGAAGACGGTAGCATGACTAACTTTCTCTCAGCTGAACAATAATGGTACCACCTTTCTCTAGGGAGTGTGCATGGTGGTATGGGAAACTGCAGCTGCCGCCCAACCAAGCTCAGGAGTTCTAACGCTTGGGCAGAGAAGATTTTGAGGCAGGTCTGAATATCTCTAAAATGTGTATGGCCAGGTGAGGGTAACAACTTACACTTCAAGGGAGGCCGATGGAATTCTGGAGATGTGACAGGCAGTTTGCTGGGTTGTTTAAAGGAGTAAACAGGAAAGAAGGAAATTTAGGACATCTCTGCCATCTCTGGGTCTTTCTGCTTCTATAACAGGATTAGAGTTAAAAGCAAGAGAAGGCTGCAGACCTTGCCCCTTCACATTGCTCCACGCACTAAGAAATCCTATCTGGTCCCTTCTCTGCTTTGTCAGGCTGGGGCCTGGCCTCTCCATCATGCAGGTGCACGGGTATAAGGAAAAGACTGGAGCCCGTGTGAACAAACTGCTGAGATCAGCCCTTCCTCCCAAGGAAATAATATATTGGCTGGGGCTCCAGGCTATGCTTTGTGCTACGGCGGTAAGGTTCATTTCTCTTCCTTCTCTGTAGAAAATTCCTCTTTCGTGGTGGCACAGGGAGAAAATAACGTGGAGACAGCCTGGGGCAAGGAGATGGCCGCAAAGGCGCCATTTCCCTACTGTCCAGCAGGGGGCGCCGATGACAAGCGCGTGGGCTCCGAGGCCTCACAGGCTCTTATGCAATGATGAGGGCGCAGGCTCCGGGGCCAGGGATGCTGACGCAGGCCTGAGTCCGGAAAAGACCCGCACATCTGGGGCCCAAGTGGCCCATTTCCCCAGAGGGGAGCACGGACTCTCAGGAATCGTCATCCTTCCCATGAAATCCTGGAAACTGCTTAGTTGAATTTCTGGTTGACTTGCCGCTGCGTGCAGCTGGCCGCTGCCTGTGAACCCAGTGACACTGGTTCACTGCTCCTGTTTGTTTTCCAAAAGGGGCTGCCCTGCTTTTTGGTTTAAGACTAAATAATAATAGTCATCATCGGCACGCTTTCCTGAACAGCCCCTCTGTGCCTTCCCGGTGCTGGGGTTTGATGCGCATTGTGTATGTTTCCCTGCTGTGCGTGTTTCATCCTCATCCTGCAGCAAGGAGCCCCACCAGTGCCTCCCATCAGACCTCCCTGCTGTGTTCAGTGCAACTTGCTTTTAAAAGGGAGTCAGGGAGAAAGGAGGAGAAGGCGGGAGGAGGAGAGGACACCAGTCCCTTCCCAGATTCATTCTACCTACCAAAGCGAGAGAAAGCTTGTGTTTAGAGAATACATAGGAAATGATGTTGATTGTCTTAAATCAGTTTCACCTTGCTGTTATTTTACTATTTAATGCTTTTGTTTGTTTTGTTTTGTTTTCAGTTTCCCTCAAATGCATCAATGATCTCTAGAATACTTCTGTATTCTAGAGAAGATCTGTGCTTAACAGAGAGAGAAAAGGGACAATGGGATTCTTTCTGGTAGGAAGATAAGGCTGCTTTTTAAATTCTTTTGCTTTCTTAATTTTGTTATATGGAAAATTATGAAATTATTGTAAAAAGAATTATAAGAATTCAAAACCAGGCTTCCTTCACTGAAAACATGTTAACTTAAAAATTTGGAAAATACAGATTTAGAAAAAAAGCATAGCCTGCACTTATAATCTCTTAACTATTTATAATTATCATTTAATTTAGTACATCAAGTAATGGTATTTTTCTAACATTATACATGCTATACTAGAAAGTGTTATAGTATTATATATAGATTAACAATCTATTGCTTCTTTCACTTAAAATATTTTGATAATTTTAAATATTTGCATAGTATTTCTATATCATATGTCATATGAATGTAACAAAATATATTCAGTTAATTTGGTAAGGATAGATATTAAAGCTATTTTCTTTTTTTTTTTTTCTATTTTAGTCTTGTAAACATCACTAGGATAACTTTTGCATACATTTCTATTTTCTTGGGAAAAATACCTAGAAGAAAAATTGAAGATCAATGGATATTTAAAACTACTCAGCATGTATTTGCAAATGGTCTTCCAGAAGCACTGTGCCAATTTGTATTTTCACCAATGGTTAGGAGTCAATACCAGTAGAGTTCCTTTTTACGTGCTTTGACAATTTTATAGGTTACAAATAGTATTTTATTGTTGTTCTAATTTGCATTCCTGTGTCTTTTTCTCTTAATTTTTTTCAGACTCCTTTAAGGATCTTTCCAAAGGTCTTCAATTTTGATGTAATCAACAAAGAACTAAGAGTGAGTAGCAGTAAAGAAATCAGGGAACTGTAGTGGTGGAGTGTGGCATATTTAAGACTTGAAGTAATGTCCCTTGCATAGATGGACGTTTTTATGGGCACTCTGGACCTGCAGTGGACTAACTGTTTGTGTTCTCCCAAAATCCATATGTTGAAATCTAATCCTCAATGTGATGGTATCAGGAGGTAAGGCTGGGAAGTAATTAGGTCACAAGAGTGGAGCATGGGATCAGTGCCTTTCTAAAACAGGCCCCCAAGTGCTCCCTTGCCAGCTACTGGCTGAGGACACAGTAAGAAGACAGCTGTCTATGAACCAGCAAGTGAGCTCTCACCTGACATCAATTCTGCCAGCACCTTCATTTTCAACTTCCCAACCTCCAGATCTGTGAGAAATAAATTTCTCTCACGTATAAGCCACCCGATGTATGGGTTTTCTTGTTTGTTTTGTTTTTACAGCAGCCTGAATAGATTTACAGCCAAGAAAATTAGAGAGAGGGGATCCAGGTCGGAATTAGTCTTAAATTTGATTACCCAATTATTATGACTTAAAGACCTACCATGCTCTGAAAGTCTGAGCACCAGAATTCTGGTGACGTTTTTTCCCAAGGTAGCCTAACGTAAGGCAAGACTGTAGCGTGAAGGAAGGGGATGACTGCTGAGAAGGCTTTCTTCACCTTGTGACAGAAACCCAGGAAGTGGGTTGTGTGCGGGTGTGCACATGTCACCTTGTGGTGTGCATATGTGCATGCCCTTGGGAATGTCATCCCTCCTTATTTTAACTGCATGTGAAAGCAGCAGGAGCCTGTGCTAGAAAACAGACACAATGAGAGGGTAGCCGTGCTTTGGGGAAGCAAGTCAATTTACTGAAAAACAATTTGCCAAATGCCCAATTTGTGAAATTATAAGGACGTTTAGAAAGTTTTGTTTCCATCTTCACCTTGTCCCTGTCTCTGAAGTTTGCCCAGACAATTTTGTTACAGAGGCAGGGTCATGTTCAGAAGCAGGGGTAGGAACTAAACACAAACTCACAAGCAAAATTCCTCAATGAGTTAGTAAATTGGTCATTCATTAAGTTAAATTTTAATAAATTGGCTTTCAACAGATTGGCCTGGAGCCCTACTTTGGCACCTTCTTCTGGAAATGTCTTCTTTTCCTTTCTCAGTCCCTTCTTGTCCAACATTGCACTTTACCTAGACCTTGAGATTGTGCCATTCACGATTAGCATCTCAACATTCATCACTTGCCATGGGAGGTAGACTTAACTGTTGGCTGGCTAAATGTTTATGTGGAATCTTAGAGGACCTGTAACAATATTTAATGAAACACTAAAAACATTCAAAGTCTAAAGGGGAATGGTGATTTGGAAATAATGTCCCTTACCTGCTCCAACCTTCCCTCTGGCTCCATTCATGGTCATAGGGCCTTAGTTTTTGCACAGAGAGCAGCACCATTTGTTGCCATGCATTCTCTCTTTTTTTCATCTTTTACGCCCATCTGATCACCACCTGCCAATGAAAAGTAAATAACAATCACTGCTCCCTCCACTGGCTTCTGTCCCTGGGGTGAATGGCCAGGAGTTTGAGCCACTGCTGGACAAGAGCCACTGATTACTTGAAGGCTGGCAAAGACAGCAGAGCCCTCACAGTGATCTGGCCTCTGTGGGAGAGACAAAGGGGTACGCAGATGTGTTGCGCTGAGATTAGCATCCGGCCAATTTCTCCTGAACTTTCGTAAAATAAAAATGCATCTTCCTCTCAGCCTGATTGCATTTCAAAAGCCCTCCTCCACTAGCACAGCCTTGGTAGATGCTGGACTCCAGGGAGGATTAAAGGTGGCGGGAATGGTAAGGATGGTGAATCTGAGATGAAAGTGGCCCTGCCACACATTGGGTCAGAGCAAATATTTGTGAAGCTTGAGTTACCCGCAGTGCCTCAGTATGGTTTCTGCATGGGAAATGCCAAGTTCAAGGTACTATAATGTGCAGGGAGATGAAGATGTATTTACAAAAACTTCAACACAGGGTGTTATGTGTTCAATGGTAAGGTGCCAGAATGCTCATAAACTGACCAGTACAAGGATGTTGTCAGCGGTGGTGTGGGAAGCAAAATTGTGAACCAGGTGCTGAAAGGAAGATGGAGGAGTGAGCTGAAGACAGTGTGCGTTAATTAATGGAAATATACGGCCTGAAATGTGAAAGAGGAGATGCAGTTGAGTAACAAGTACAGTGCCCTTCCTTCTGTCACACCGGAAATCCAGCAAAATCTGAGACCAGGTGCCTATTTAAAGTCAGCTCTACAGAGCTTCAGGGCTGGGGATGATTTATCGGCAGGAACAAGCCAGATTTGCTCTGGGCCAAGAGTCAAAGCATATTAAATATGTAGCCTTTTAAAGAATCATATTGCTGTATCATCTATACATGTATATATATTTCATATACATTTAATGGATTAAAGCAGATTATAACATAATAAATAAATATCAAATTATTCATGTTTCTCTTTTGCTTGAGCCTCATTCTGCAGAAGGAACACTTTCATGCTTTAAAAAAGGCAGCATCACCTCTGATCTATGAACCATTTTATTTCAAATTCATCTTCCTGCTACAATTTGGCCTGCTGCTTGGTGGGGAAAGGCCTTTCCATATTTCACTCACTGCAGAGCAATCCAGCTTTCCTGTAATACTCATCTGGTGGTTATATCCATCATTTGAGATGTAGGGGCTATTAGATCAGAAATATTCCATGAAGAAAGGAGCAAAGATTCATGTCATTGACAACTGGAGAAGAAAGAGAGAAAGCATAATAATATCATGGGACAGAACGGAGTCCCTTCCAGATCTTTGGAGGGCTAGCACCATATCCTTCCCAATCATGCATTGCAAGGCTAGCTGAGGTCCTGAAAAGTGGGCATCTTCAGTCTGAGGCCATGAGGCCTTTGACCTACATTGGTTATACTGTGCCATTTCAGAATGCTCACCCCCGCCCTCAGATCCATTTGTTTGTTTACACAAGAATTCATTTTTTGAGAAAAATTAATCTTTGTACTGCAGTTAGGAATAAAGCTTAAAGAAAAATCACTGGGATTGGCTGCATGTTGCTTTAAGTTCAAAAATGACTCTGCAAGGTGGGCATCCAAACCTTTCTAGCTGTTCTCCATGCAGGAAGAACAACTCGAAGGCAGCATGTCATGAACAGCTCCCAGGAAAGAGAGGAGAGAGGCTGGAGGCACCAAGCCCATCCAAGTACTCAGCACTTGCACAGGCCCTGGCCTCCCTTAGTATCCAAACACCTTACTGTTTCTAGGGATTCGGTATATGTGGATTAAAGCCCAACTTACTAACACTAGTTATTTAGCATTAATAATTTGAATCTTTAAGTTTCTTGTTGGTAAAGGACTATATAAGTTTTTATTTGAAAATCAAGTGTGTTTTTCTTTAAATCGGGTACTCATGATGTGTGACAAATGACATGCCTCCTACAAGAGTTATGAGTTATGTGCCTAAATAGGAAGGATCATCTCATTGCAGAATTAGAGCATCATGCAGTGGGAAGGGAGCTTCAAGGTCGTTTAGTCCAGGCTCTGAGCTGATACAGAAATTCTCCTTGCAGCATCCCTACCCGGTGGCCATCAGACTTCTACTAGTGCATTCATCCACACCTGGTCTGCCTAAAACCTTGAGAAAAGCCCCTTGTATAGCTCCATAGCCCCAACTGAATGGAAAGTTTTTGTTTTCAGTAAACATATACTGTTGTATGACTTTGGTTGATTGGTTCCCCTCTAGAGACCCAGAAAACACTGAGCTCCCTTTGACACCCATGCCCTTTGACTGAAAGCCACAAAACAGAGCTGTCTTTCCCAGAGAGTTACCAGAGTAAGTTTCCTGAGTACCAGATTTGCTGCTTCGCTCCACTGCAAATCAAATGTGTGACCTATGCTTCAATTCAAATCGCCCTTTCCTAAGGGTTTTACTTTTTCTGATCTGGTGTGTTTCTTTTTTAAAGATCTGCATTTATATATTTCAAGTGGAACTTTTTTTTAGCAAACTACACCCTATTTTAAATTGAGAGATATGGTTTGATTTTGATTCAAACATACAAGAGTAGATATAATACAGTGATGAACGCCTCAGTACTTATTATCCAGCTGTAAATATATCAAATTGTGGTCAGTCTTATTTCATCATTACCCTCACCTCGTCTGTCTCCTCCCTGGATTGTTTTGAAGCAAATCCCAGATACCATACAGCCATTCATTCTCATATGAACCTGGGAGCAAACTCTCCAAACTACAGAATCAATGGAAGGCATTTGTGGGGGCCTCACCCTTATAGTGGGTACTGGAGTTACAAAGGTGGATAAAATTACGCCACATTTTGGTCTTTTTGGAAAACACTACCCCTCATGTGTAGGTAGAAATGGACTCGTCTTTTTGTGCTGATACTTCCTTTTTGTGGCCAAATTCTTTCTAAAAATAGACAGCCAGCCCTCTCCTGCTGCCCGTTTCTTAAACTGTCCTCCTATGAAGGTGATCTAGGATTGTACAATTAGAATGTTTTGAGAATTTTGTTCCTTTTGAGCTGTCTTTACTTTTCAAAGCCTGTAGTCATGCTATTGGACCTATCTTTTCCTCTCATTATTACTGTATATTGTGTTATTCTCTCTCTTTTTATCAGGTTCATTATGATTATCATGGTTACCTTCTCCCAGGTTCTTCCCATTCATTTACCGTTACCATTTCATTTCACCTTACGTTTCTTCCCAGTTGCTAAGACTTAACCACATAATATTAATTTTCTTTTTCTTTTTTACTATGTTTTGAAAAGTGAGTCTAATGACAAAGTCAATCAATAGTTGCTCAGAAGATCTGCATTCATTCACCAGAAAGAGTCTTTCTGCTGATATTCAGAAGATAAATTTTGAACTCAGCAAGAGCCATGATCCAGTTACACTGCCTGCACACGCAAAAACAGAGAAAAACCATCAGACTAGACATGAGGGAAAGATCAGAGCACACAATCGTTATGTGATAATGATGTATTAATAATAGATGGTGTAATGAACCAAAAATGAGCTTGGCAACACTCCCAGGTACTTTTCATAAAATAATTCCCATAACCCACTTTGCCTATAAAGAAGGGAACACATCATCCCACAATTACTTGGGGGTGGAATGGTCAGCACGGGTCCAGGACGCAGTTCAAGGACGCTGTGCTTGGCCCTTCACCTTTCCAGACAACACCTGTGGCCTCTCCCCTACTCCAGTGTGTGGATCTGTGGGATGGAGACTAAAAGCTGGGTTATGCTCCACTAAATGAATTCTCATGTCCCTGAGCTCTTCCCAGGAAACATGCAGGGAGTCTGCCAGCTGCAGAAGTTCAACTCCTGGGAAGAGGGGATAGATTTCCGTGGATTATTTAAATGGTGTTGCATGAGTGTGCAGAGCCAACATAATGGGAACTGGTGGTCCTCATGTATCTCTTGGCTACGTCATCCTGTGATATGGTCCTGAGGCTGACCAGGGAATGCAGCTGACTTTCAGAGGCCCAAATATGACATGAGGCATAGTCAATACATGAGGCCAAGGTCACTATATATGTGGCCTTGGTCACAAAAGGTAACCTGGGATCTGCCTGTCCCTGCAGATCCTGCACTCTATAACATAGCAGTGTTTAGTGCCTATTTAGGTTTTAAGGGTCATCAGGTCTTCAGGTTTTCTAAGGAGTCATAGCATATATAGCTAAATCTTCTGAATATGAATTTGTGTTAAACTAAATGACATGGAGAGCATAAAAGAACTGTTAAGTATTCTGGTCTGGGCATCAGAAACTTGATACGGTTTGCAACACAGCCAGGAGGAAGGATCATTCAGGCATTTGTATTAAGTTGCATTGCTGACATCTGTCAGAAACCCGGCTAACAGCCCTTGGCATGAAAAGCACAGTTAAAGTGAAATGGATCTATTCAATGAGAAGCTCAAAACTTTAGCTGGTTTGCAAAGTGTATTTGTCTAGCCACATGCATCATCAGTTCAATGTTTCAAGTTTATTTCCATGAATGAGATTTCATTTACTTCCACACACTCACTTAACCTATTGAGTGATTCTAAGCTATGAACAGATATAGTCACCAAAAAAGTAATTACTTAAGAAACGACAGAGAAAACTTATCAGTTAGCTGTTTAGTTATCTTTCCTTTCTTTCATTTTTTTTTTTTTTTGAGATGGATTCTTGCTCTGTCGCCCAGGCTGTGGTGCAGCGGCACAATCTCAGCTCACTGCATTCTCTGCCACCCGGATTCAAGCTATCTCCCGCCTCAGCCTCCTACCTCTTTAGTTATCTTTTATGCAGCATCTCTAGAAAGTGCCGCACACAGGTTTAATATGGGAGTGAAGAAAACCAACTTATTTATCTACCTCTAAGTCTCAAAGGCTATTCTGCACACAGCTATGAATTTCTGGGAATAGAAAAGCCACTTTGCAAGTTAGCAGGTGAGGTCAGAGTAGATGC